TTCTCTGTTTACGTGTACGACAAGAATCATCAGCTTCCTTGAGATCCACTATACTCTCACCATAGAAACCATTTTTCCTACTTACTTTTTCCTCTTCATACATTGGTGGACTCAAAGTTCTTCACTTGGTTTGACCAAAATAGAATCATAAAAATGAATATATTGCCCATATTTTTGTAACTACTCCAAACTTTAACAACTCCTACTTCAACCTCTTTTCTGAAACCTATTATAGATGAGTTCTGTAAATTCCTATTGGCTAAAAATCACCTAGACTAAACCACATTCTTGAAATGCATGGGCAGTATAGCCTTCCCGAATCTTCTTTTATATTATAAGGCACATATCTAGAATACTTGACCAGTGCCAAAGCTGTCCAACCAAACTCTGAATTCAGCTTGAATAAACCAATACCGACATGCTGCTTTCTCTGTTTCCATGGCTGGATGATAACACTTCAGCAATATTCAAATCCCATTCACTGAATAAGAGTATTCTCAAATTTGTCAACCAAACATGCTCACCCTCACCCCTCCTGATAACCAAAAAACCCAAAATAACTATGACCCCAGTAGTAGGCAACCTGACATTCCCCCCCCAGGGGAGTTTGCTGTTTATTGCATGCTCAACAGACTCAAGTTTAAGACTTCAACAAAAGAGAAAGAAACCTACATGTGATATCCAAACAATGACCATTTCTTCTCTCCTACTATGGAGCTCTCTATAAATCCAACATTTTCTTACTAATCATCACAGGGCGTGGACCTAACCAACCGATCTCCTCTTCTAAGAAATGTTGTTATTAGACAGACACACTGAAACATGTGCTATCTGCCATATATTCTCTTTTCGCAACTCTCCTAGAAGGCTTCTTCTAAGTTTACTTCTAGAAATGGGAAGTAATATTGGGTGGCACTATTTTCTACTCATTGAATTAATACTTTAACCCTCTCTTGGGCCTATTTCTTGCCTTAGCTATGCAGACCTTTAATGTTCTCTAGGTCTTACTTTAAGCTATTACCTGGTGCTCGTGCCATGAAGGTCCTTGTTCAAGCCCTTCCTGTATAGGGTGGTAACACTCTGTTCCTGTTTCCCAATGGTCCCTGTGAGCTCTATCACATGGGTTTGGGTGGAGACTATAGCCACCTTCAGGAAACCTGACCTTACAAATGTTGTGCAGCCATCACTGGAATGTATGCAGGCAGCTATAAGATGTAACAAAAGATAGGAAGGTAAAAACAGTATTTTTAACAGAAAAAATGGATATGACTTATGATACACAAGGCATTAGCAATCTACATTTTATCTAGTTAGGGTTAACATCTACTTAACATACAGAAAGGGGTTATTTGGTACTTTGTAATAATTAAAAATTACATTTAATTACATTTTCCACAGCTTTATTTAAGTAATGAGCTGTAAAATGATATAAGAACACCTAACCTTTTCTTTCAACTGGGGAAAAGCTGGAGCCTCTTCTGTATAAATCTTTCAGCCACAAGAGAAGAGTGGGTGGTTCAACTCAAAAACCAGCAGTTTGACATGTAAGCCTCAAATGATAATTTGGTACCAACTGCTTGCTTTTAAAACATGCAAACAGCAGGGGTGTCATCCTCATTCACTATAATAATTCACAGACCTAGAACAGGTGCAAAGCATGGGAGTTCAGACTTTAAGGACTTTATTGACTGCATTCTTGCTCTCAGTGACTTCCCGTGGAGAAAAGCTAGGTGCCTGCAATCATCTTCACAAGTGCCACTTGATACCCAGAGTTTCCCAAAGGGTTTAACCTAACATTGTATGTCTTTTTTTTACCAGTTACCCATAGGGCTGGTGTCACAAAGCATTGTGGGTTTTCTGAAGAAAGAACACAGCAAGAACTATTACTCCTCTGATCATTCAGCTATTGTATAAAATATGATCTTGAGCTATTGGTTTATGTAAACAACTTGCTTTTTGAACAAAGCAATTAGCTGGCTGAAAATGTAAATATGAGCTGTGATCTTATAACTGGTGGGAGAATATTGAAAAGACAGGCGAGGTTCACAAATCACAGATTCATAGAATGAATGAAGCAGAAACAGGGAGATGCATGCATTGCAGATTCATCCAGCAAGTAATACAGTAGATATCACTATTCACACTTTAAATCTCATAAAACTAGAAGCCAGAGACAGCAGTGCATTAGATGACCCTGCACTGCATATATATACAGCTTCAAGGTTGGGGACGCTGGAGTACCTAAGCACACTTACATAGAAGAAAGTCCACTTGCTTGATTTCTCAAAGCACTGTTTAGGCACAGTTATAATTTCTATATGTTCATTATAAAATAGCAAATGTTCATTTTTTTTAGTTCAGTTCCATTTTAAAGTAAAAGGCCCAAGTTAGTTTGAAAGAGCTCCCCTAACCCTTAGGAGCCAATTAAAGCCCACTGCACCCTCATAAAACACAAACAATCGCCTTACTTTTGACCTGAATCCATTTTGCCAAATAAATTTCAAAGAAATTTTAAAAATGTTGCTGTAGCTTCAGCAAATGGGAAGTGTTACAGTGTGGGTTCTTTCAGCAGCAGGGACAGATATGATTGGGTCCTAGCTATCCGTAAAATGCTGTAGAATAAGAAAGCACTAGAGTTATAAAAATGGATAAAAAAAAATAACTATGCCTTAAAAGGTGAAATGATAGCACTGTATACCTAGGCAGGTGAAACATCCTGAATATTAACATTTGTCAGAACACACCAACAACTGACATGGATACTCTTTGCCTTGTACTTTGACTTTTATTGGAATTCCGTTGTATCTGGTGGTGGTGTGGTGCTTCAATTTCCATTGTTGTTACATTACAGTACAAGCTAAGTCCCCGGAGATCTTCTTGGGTGTAGAAGCTGTCTGCCTGGGAACCAGATTATTTAGATTATTTATACTAACATCAATACTTTAGCAGTACCAGTGAGATAACCCTGCGGGTCCAGTGCTATTTCTCTACTTATATCTGAACTGGACACGAGCACCACTTGCTGTCTTCTCAGAATGTAGATACTGATGATTGCTCAGTGACCTCTCAACCTTTTGAAATTTTCAGGATGAAAAGGAGAGTAATCCTTGTGATTTATCTTGTAATCAATACACAAAATAATTCAAGGCAGAGCCCTAAAGATCAATCAAGCCCCTGCTGTACATATTGCAAAGATTAATCTTGGTCTTTTGGAAAAAATTCCTATTCATTAATACAAATTCTTGTTGAGTTCAGAAAACAAAAATTCTGTCGAGCACTCAAAGGAGTCACTACTAATACTACTATATTGTATTTTTCGGTATTATAAGCAGTCAAATGTTTGTTGGCTGTGTGTCTGTGGCAGAAACATACAGCTATAATCAGTGAAATTGTGAATGCATAGTAGCCAAAAATTGTTAAATAATTTTTATTTCAAAGCATAGTCAGTGGACCTAATTTATCAGCGTCTCAAATAAGAATGGTCTCTAGGGTTTTTGCTCTACAACAGTCTATCAGGTTTAGACCTAAATGGAAAATGAAAGGTGAAAAATAAAATGGCAATGTGTTATTACAGAGCATTCTTTTTTAACCAGGATTCTGTGGGATGCTAGGGTTCCTCTAGAGGTTGCTAGGGGTTCTTCAGAAGTGATAGACTCTATAGACTGATCTCCTGCCTGGTGGTGCCCACATAGTATTGACAACAACACCATTCACTCCTTCCACTGACTAGTAGCCCTTCGCTCACTGAAAACTAGTATGGTGTGGCTAATATACCATTAGCCGTAATCACATATAGCAGGGGTTCCCTGAGAGCTGAATTTAATTTCAAGGGTTCCTCCATGTTAAAAAGGTTACTAAAGATAGTTATAGACAGTTCCTATTGCATTCACAATGATAAGTAAGTATTCTTTAGCTTTATTCTTTGTCTTTATGACAAAGTGGCATATTTATAAAGCAGTGAATCTGATAGTCACCAAACATTTACTACAGGTGGATATTCCAGGTGCATGTGTTTAAAATGGATTGGTGAAATTCACATTCACTGCTTTATAAATAGACCCTGATGTTCTTGTTGGGGTTGGTCAAGCCATGATGGTGCCCGGGGGCCAACACCATACCTCCCAACTTTATAAGATGGAAAAGAAAGACAGATATCCTATTTCAAATATGTATAGGCAAAAGATTCACCCTAACCACATCTTCGCTCATGCAATCCTTAAAAGAGAAGTGCAGAAATCGAAAAAAAACAAACATTGTTACTTACCTTGAAGGCAGCAGTATTTGTCCGATGCTGTATCTGTCCCCCGCTGGATCAACACCGAGAACTAAGCAATCAAAGACCGTGGATCGCTCAGTCCTCAGGTCCACTCGGAACATAGAGCGGTGATTGTTAGTCACTGTTCTGCCCATCCAGCGCTCATTAGAGCACTGGACTGTGAAGGGGGCAGGAGCAGCTGACTCTGGATTTCTGAAAGGATGAGCCAGCTGCCGGACAGGCATCTGAGCGGAAACCCTACAATATTGGCTCTGCGAACTTTAGCCTGCTGCCGGCGGAATCTGCATCATCGGGTTGCACTCATGTGCACCCACAGGAGACGTAGGGCCAAAAGAGCTTTGGCCATACTTCTCTTTTAACCTCCCTAGCGGTATGATTATTTCAGATTTTTTGGTGCTGAAAGCGGTACCATTATTTTGCATGGAAATATGTAGTTTTTTTATTGTAGGTTGTAATTTTTAGGAATAACTCACTGAAATCTGTCCGAACAAGAGTCTATTAAACATCCCGGGTATGATAAAATTTGAAACACAAAATCATAAATTATAATTTAATAAATAATCATAAAAAATAATAATATAATAATAATACATTTAATTCAATAATATAATCAAACCAAAAACACTGAAATTTGAAATAGAGCGCCAAGTTCGCACATTGCTGAGCAAAGTCGCAAAATCGTTTTCAGTGTCTGATGATGAATTTCCCCATGAATCATTATCACTCAATTCTGCAAGTGGTTCTGATTTACTATCGCTGTTCTCTAGCTGATCTAAACCCACTTTTGACCTAAAGGGACACATTTTGGACGCCATGGACCTTTCTCAGTTTCCAGGCCGAAAGAACAGACAAAATGCAGGCAGGGCACAGGACAAAGCACTAGGGACAAAATGTATGTGAAATGGGTTGAAACAGCAATGTTTTGCTATGTAAAATTTGTTTTGAAAAAAAATGAAATTTTTAAAAATTTTCAAATTTCCCGCCGCCGCCGGCGGTGCCCGTACGTCCCGACGTCACAGGGACCGGAACACAGAAGCCGGATGCCGGCATCGGCCGGAGGAGATGGCCGGGGACGCTGCAGGGGGGACATCGCGGGAGCGAAGGACAAGGTAAGCTCTGCAGGGACTCCCTATGCAGCGCCGCATGGTAAGCCCGAGTGTAGCTCGGGGTTACCGCTTTTGGCACTGACATTTTACCCCGAGCTACACTCGGGAATACCACTAGGGAGGTTAAAGACTTAGGCTACATTCACACAACTGTATGCAAACTGTAAACAAATGGCAACCACCCCAGCCTATAACTAGCCTTTGCAGCAAGAAGCACATGGAAGGGCATCACACATTAAAACAAAACCTTTCCCAGCTCACTTACCAGCTAGCCTGTAACAAAACAAATGGACCTTGTCTAACAGTTCAAGTTAAAAACAAGGGTTTAGTTGCACATATTTGCAAATATATGTGTAAGCTGTACCGGCAACGTCAAGGCACCCCAGTGTACTGCGGTCCTAACTCTATAATTTGAATGTCTCCCAAATTAGAGCACATATTATGGTGGATAGTTTAAGGCCCCCACACACAGGTGGCCAGGGGCAGCATTCGTGAATTATTTCCTGCTTACACTGCATGTGAACAGCAGCAGCCTAAATGTATAAAGAAATTAGATTTTTTACAATTTTTTATTGGATGTTTTATAGCAAAAAGTAAAAAATATAGTTTTTTTTTCCCAAAATTGTCAGTCTTTTTTGTTTATAGCACAAAAAAAAAAAAACCGCAGCGGTGATCAAATACCAATCGAAAAGAAAGCTCATTTTGTTGGAAAAATTATGTAAATTTAATTTGTGTACAGTGTTGCATGGCCGCACAATTATCAGTTAAAGTATCACAAAAAATGGCCTGGTCAGGAAGGGGGATAAATCGTCTGGAGGGCAAGTGGTTAAAGCTCTAGGCTGATATATAAGTCACAATATTGATTCAGCTGCATATTGATTAACAAACCCTTAAACAAATTATTGTAATGTAAGCAGAGTAAGCACCTGGATTTGTCCTGGTATCAACCACTTGCAGTCTCTACACAGCAGAGCTTAAAATGAGACAGGGAGAAGCAGCACAAGAAGCCAACCTTTTGTTCTGCAGTGCAAGGAGCATGCTGATAGGAGAAGAGTGCAGCAGTGTGCTGTTTCTCCTTTCACTGTCCAGTCACAGGCTGGGGGAGGGACAAGACAAATAAGTATTACTGAACAGCAGCAGAGAAAAGTCTATGTGTTTAGCTGTATTTAGCTGTTTGCTTGGAGTTCAAATTTACATCTTTAATCTAGTCATTAAAACAAGAAAATTCATTTGTGAGGAAGAGCAGTAATGTGAGGCATGTTAATTAGAACTTGGATTTTTATCAAAACGCATAATATGTGAGGAGCTGTCCAGTGCTGAGTCTGAGTTTTTGCAGCATCAGCATTGGATAATTCTGGTTATTTGATTTCAGTACAAAGGGGTTGGGTTACAGCCCCTGTCTTGATTACTGTTCTATTTAATCTCCTTGGGGAGATTTACCCTCACTTCCTGTACCAAGGATCACTGTACATACAACAAGAAGTAAGGATGGAATATTGCCTGTGAATGCGAGCAATTCGAACCTTGTTTTATCAAATATGCGTTTTAATTGCTGTCTTTGTGTTTTTCATTTTTGTAACAATGTTCCCAGAAATGCCCGAACAGCTCTCCGGTTAACCCAGACTCTCATATTTATATCCTTTAGCAGCAAAAATTTCCATAGCCAAAAGTATAGAAGTCAACTATAATTGATATCTCAGAAACTAGAAACAAGATCTCCAGGATTATGCTCTGTGGAAAAATGAGCAAGCATCCTACAGGACAAAGAAGGAAGGTTTGAAAGAGTCTGGAATCCATGGATCCCATGGGGTTGATTTATTAAAGACAAAAAGACTGCGCACATTGCAAGCGCAGATGCTATAGAACTTAGTAAAAGGGTCATTTTTCAAAATGTTTGGTCTTTTTTTATTTATTTAGAAAAATATAAACAACCAAGTGGTGATTAAATACCACCAAAAGAAAAAAGTCACAAAAAAAATTATAAAAATTTTGTTTGGGTACAGTTTTGCATGACCGCGCATTTGTCATTCAAAATTTAACAGCGCTACTAGCTGAATATTGGCTTGGGCAAGAAGGGGGTGAAAGTGCCCGGTAGGCATTTGGTTAATTACAAAGAATACCAAATCACATGCAAGGGGAAAAAAAAAGCACTTTTGCTTGCACATGATTGGATAATGGAAGACAGCAGAGCTTACCCTCATTTATTAATCTCTGGTACAACTGCACTTGCAGAGTGCACAGCCTCATTGCTTTTAGTAAATCAATCCCCATATGTACAATCTCCTGTTTAAGACCAAGAGAGTGGACGGTGGTGAGAATGAGTTTACATCTGGACTCAAAAGGATCATCTCTCTTTTCTCCTCCTTTCACTTATGCTTCTCCCCTTCAATTTCACTCTTTAGGAGCCATTTTTTTCTCCACTTTATAGTTCCAATTTACTCAGGATTGTTACCTAGATGGCACTGAAAAGTTGACTGTTTGGGACAAGGTTATGCACGTAAGGCAATGCTGTTGGAAACAGCCCATTATTATCTTACCTCTGCTTTCTATACTGGATTCAGAGCCTATGTCTCAAAATACTATAACCACATTGTTCTGTGCTAATATTCATTTATATCTTTTATTATCGTAGAGCTCCCCTCCAAAAAGAGCCGAATTTACAAATAGTCTTTCTCTAGTTGGGGGAATCAGTCTATGGGTTTCTTCTTGTGATTATTATTGATGAACGATGAACTTGGATAGGGATAGGGAGCATGGGATACCTCGGAACTGTACAACTTGAAACTGAGGACTGCTAACTTTCTGGCTGCACTTGTCCAAACTTGCACACCTTCAGCTGTACCTGCACAACACTCAACAGTGTGGCACCCCTGCTTGGCTGTATTGTTACACATCTGACTGTACTTCCTCCAGCAAAGAATGTCCCAAAGAATCTTTGAGTTGCCTGCGGCCTGTCCTCTTCCCAGAGACAAAAGCACTACACAGTCACTATACTGTCTCTCTTGAAGCACTGGGGTTTTGTACTCACTAACTGTGAGGGAGATGAAGCCTTTGGACAACTTGGGCTCACACCAACAGCTTCCCTCTTGGCTCTTGAAATAACTAAAAAGGAGGGTGGTTTTCTGGAATCCCCCTATTTATTATACAATTATGTACTATTTGTCAGTTCCAATAATTAATTAATAAATATTTAAGCTTTAACAATATTGAAGGAAGTAATATACTGCAATATTAGCTATAATAATAAACACAATGCTCAAAGAAGCAAGGTCTTATTTATTTACAAAGAAAGTACAGCACTAACAGAGAAATCTAAAGCAATATTACAAGAGTATATAGGAATACTAGTAAAGATGATACGTTACATAAGTTTGTCCTTAAAGCTAAGTACCTTTTTTGCTGGATCCCAGTTAGGAAATGGTCAAAAGAAAGACAAAGCCTGCCCAAAACTGTCTTTAAAAGCCCTCTCAAGCACCACCCCACACACACGCACCCTTGACCCACCTGGTGTAGTTCTCCATCCAATGAGCAAACGTCCATAACTCATAAGGGGCTGTCCTCCCTATTCATTAGGAAGTGTAGAATTACCCCAGCCCTCCTCCCAGAAGTAGGTCGTCTCCACCAGGGGGCATTGCTGTATTGCCAACCACGCTTGGACCCAGGTCAAGCACATCTGGCTCCTTCCTTCTGGCTAGAAGCCATGTAATCTGTCCTTTTATTACGCATGTCACCCGGGAGTCTTGGCTGAGGCTCTCTTATCTCCATCCCCCACCGCTAGTGTGAACTCCCAGAACAAAGATGCAGCCTTTTGATACGCACATCTAGTCCAAGATAATATTCAATAGGCCAAATAGTTCTTTGACAACCAGGCAGTAAGAATCCATAAATGTCTGATATAGAAACATGTTGCCTTCCAACAGCTCTCCTCCCATGAGTTATCTACTGACCTTTTGGATTTCTAGCATGCCCAGTAGCCCCCCCCCCTCCAAACCTAGCTGGGACCTTGATGTCCTCACCTGGCTCTCTTTCTCTCCTGATACTCAGGTGGACAAGACCCCTCAATAGGGGTCTCCCTGGATGCTGTTCTATCCCAGCATACTGCAAACTCCACGCCACTCAGACTATTTATGAGCTACCCCCCACCTTCTGGGCATATCTCCCCAGGGACTGGTGGAAGTCCCATAAATATTTGAACTGCAGCATCTGCCCCTCTCCTCACTATGTTCTGGAAACCTCCAGAGAGTTCCAAAATACAGGGGGGAGTAGCAGAACAGCAGCCTGTGAAAACCTGAGCAGCCCTAACCAATTTAACCCCTGCTCCACTGACTACAGTGGAGTTAAACTAAATTTACCTAGCAACCTATCTAAAACTAGGAGGTTACTACATTATCCTATTGCTGTTGTGTTGTGACTGAATAACAAGTCGGAAAATGTCTGTAAAATTTCCGGATTACACTTAATAAAAATTATTGAAACAGAAGAAAATATTTGGGCTGTACACACACTTAAAAAAATAATGGATATGGCTTTCCACTACAATAATGGTCATCACCCAACTAATTTTGGCATTGCCATATGAGTGGAGATGCACCATCACCTTCATTTTTAAGAATGAACAAAGCCTTACCTAAGCCTATCATCTAATAAATTGTCTGTGTTTGACAGGTTCATTAAATTGGCTAAATTCCCCAACATATCCATTTAGAGTTATCACTTAGATTTACATAACTTCATATTCCTGGCCCACCAATAATTCTATTACCTCACCTGGCTTCTCCCCAAGACTTCATAAACTGATACGTTCCCAGGAAGAATTTACGAGTTACATACTGTATGAGAATGAGCAGCGTTTCAAGAGACAACATACTCCAAATAACTTAACAGCTTTTAAACATGCTTTTCATTTTTCCTCTATTGTGTGATAGGAAAAAGAGATTGTCTCAGACATTAGCTGTAAAATAACGTGAAAAAAACACTTTGCT